GTAAAATAAAAAAAGCAATAAACACACTTTTTGTAGACCGCCCCTGTTCAATTAATTTGTGTTAAATTACACATTTAATAAATGCACATTGTTTATCCTTTAAATAACTCATTCATTAAAGAAATGCGTGTTACCCATCCTGCAAACAACAATTTTACACAGCCCTAAATTTAATACAAGCTGAATATATTGCATTCGATGTGTGCCGAATATCATGTAGTATCAGCATAAATAGAAATCACGCCACATTCTATAGTACACGCTATCTTGTATGTTAAAATATTTCCTCTCGCTCCGTTTCATTGAAATTAAAACATAATTTAACACAATATTTCAGACTTTAGCCCACTCACATAAGAATCAACTAGAAAAATTGACCGCCCGCCACTCCGCCTAACCTGTGCGGCTTGGAGCCATTTAAATTTTACCGATCGCTCACGCACTTTTATATACCAAACTCATTGGTCTCCTTTTTTATATAAAAAATACAAGTTGTCATCATCCTCTTCATCCTCGAGATAAACTTTTGTCAGGCGTCTTGCAATTATTTTTTCACAAAAGACTCCCAAAATATATGTTTTCATAAAGTACCCAGGCAGCACACTTTGGTATAAATTACGTATTTTTTTAGGTACTACCATACGTATGAATACGATTGATGTACTACCAAATATATTCGTGAAAATGTCCGCCTTATAAACGTCGATTACTAAGAATTTATCCACCTATAATTAAACGTTTTTACTATACGTCTATATTAGATTTATAGTTGTAGTATATTTATACGAATTTACTTTGGTATAAAATACGTTTTTTTATGTACTACAATATACGTATGGATACTGTTGATATGCTACCCAATATATATACGTGAAAATGTCCCATAAACGTATATTTTTTTTATTTTTTATACGTCTAACATTACTACTTTATCTACCTTTAATTATCCTGTTTTACTATACGTCTATATTAGATATATTTGTATGATTTTTATTAATGTGTAAAATGCGTCTACCTGATTATGGGGTCTATTCTGTAACAATTCCTTTATATTTAACGGCCTTTAAAAATATTTTCTTCTTTACTTCTGTCATTATTTAAACGGATCTTTAAAATACATTAGAGGACTATCTTAAAGAAATCTGTTTAAATAATGACAGAAGTAAATTAACGAATACAAACATATTTTTAAAGGTCGCCAATATTTTTAAAGGCCGTTAAATATAAAGGAATTGTTACAGAATAGACCCCATTGTTTTAAATGTATTTCAAACACAAATTAAATAAAGTGATCAAAACAAAATTTCTAAAAGAGGCCATGGAAAAATGTTAATATATCTTAAATGATAGTTTGGATTTTATCCATAGCAGGTGTGTATACACCAGAAATTGGCATTACTCGTGTTTCTATTTTGGTTGTAATTGGTCTATAAATATTTAGAACATTTTTTTTGATCACTTGTTATATGTACAGAACAATATTTAATTAAAAAAAATAAACAATAAAATACTAAAAAATAAATAAATACAAAAAAATAAACACTAAAATACTGAATAACAAACTAAACGAAACTTTTCTTTAACTTACAAAAAATATGTATATGAAAATAAAAATCTTAGCTTAACACTTTGGATGTGTTGTGTCCTAAAGAAGGGCCTTAGCTAACTTAAACTAATCTTGCATGGCACACCTAATCGTTCGGTCGGTTAAGTCGCTTGGTTCACCCCCATTCCTATAACCAGAATGTAACTCAATTTTAGGTGAAATATTTTCTAAAAGTTCCGAAGTTAAATTTATATTATTTTCTTGGAAATTATTATAAATCATAGAATCAGATGATCTATTAATGTCCGAAGCCTTATTAATGTTATCTTCATTGGGAATAAAAAAAAATTGATTTGACTTTAAAGCATCTTGAACATTTTACGCTATTTTTCTACATATATGACACAGAGACAGGGTTATTTTAGACATTCTATTAAATGAAAAACAACTGACCAAAAAAAAAAGAAAAATAAGTATGCTTGGAATAACTAGGTAACCTAAAAAATACGTATAAAAATAAAAGAAACAAAAGTAAGGTTATGTTTTGAAGTTTCTATAAGTATTTAATACACTGTACGTACCTATAAAACAGTAGTTGTTGTAAAATGCAACAATTATTAAAGTAGTAGCTAAATTAAAACATTAATAGAAAATTACCTATGCTTTTAATCAATATTGTAAAAGTCAGGACGCCAAAGAAACATGCAACAAAACGTGCACACAAATGAAAATGGACGAACCGATGAACCTGCTCCCATAAACCATTCCCTACACTGAACAATAATACTACACATACGCATGAGTAGAAATGAGAAAAGACCGTACCACTAGTACGTCATCCTCCATCCGCCATCTAAAAATAATTCCATGTGTATGGGGAATTTGTTATAAATATTACAGATAATACAATTAAAAAAATATGGATGTAATGTAAATAAATATATCTATAAGCTTTTAATTTAAATAAATCTAAATATATACATATTATTTACTTCTGTCTACTAGTTCATCGTAAACTAGTATTATACGTTTAAGGTGACTTATATTTAAACGTAGAATAATATAGGTATATTAACTAGTATCGACAAACAGAAGCGTTTAATTTATCTGTTAAAAAACGTTAAGTATACAAATGGTAGATGGTAAACGTTTAAAAAATCAACCAAGACGAAATTTAAACGGGAATTATAAACGAAGAAAACATATTGTAATATAATGTAAATTTATACGAATTTAATTTAAATAAACCTAAACGTATATTTAGGCCCACTGTATATAAATAGTTCATCGCAAACTAAAAATAGTCGTATATTGTTAACTATATTTAAACGTAGAAAAATTTACAATTATATACCATAGGATGTAAAAAACGTATAATATATCATTTAAAACACGGTATGTATAATAATCGTAAACTGTAAACGTATACGGAATCAACCAATACCAAAATTAAACGAGTATTACGTATAAAATACGTTAGTTATACTAATGTGTGCTGCCTGGGTACTGTCCGAACTGGCCTGACGAAATGTGTCTCGGTCTCGCGTTCATCATCATTTATTTTCAGATAAAATAATGTTTTTATTTTTGCTATACATAACTAAATCGTCATTTTATAGACCAATAGGATTGTTTTTAATTGGGGATTTAAATATTTTAAATATTCTATATAATAGGTAATACACATGGGCGCTGCCAGAACTTTTTCCAGGGAGGGGACAAGAATGCAAAATTGTGAATTCTTTAAAACAATTTACACAAATGTAGGGAGTTATAGACGCTATTTGCTATATCGTGCTATCGTGTAGGCGTGGTTGTCAAATGCTGCCGAATTTACCGTTTCAAGTGATTAGATACTCTAAAAAATATATCAAAGGTCCAGAGCGAAAACCCGATAAGTAATAAAATTTAGTTATGAAGATATTGCCGTTTAAATATTTTTTGTTCTTTTATTTACAAATAAATGCTTCTGATGGTTTGCCTGCGTCAGTTTATAGTACCTACTTATAACGATTAAACGGATTGCTTTATTTTTTTTCTAAATTGACGTTTGCTATAGATGTACTGAAATAAAGACAATATGATATCAAATTATCAAAATTTCACTCTATGGATTAATAAAGAGTTTCGAAAAAAATTGATCTTTACTCATATATCGATTTTTCGGAATACCAGTTAACAATACTTAGATACGAAATTTCACAAAACGGAGTATATTAACAGAAAGAGCACTAAAATATGTTTGATGATACCTATATAAAAGTTATTTTACACTCGATACAATATATTATTATCAGTTAATCTTATGCCCCAATAATTTCTTGATAGAAGTTGCTATTCGCGATTCAAATTAATTTTCGCGCGCCTGTCATTTGTCACCTATGAGTAGGATGTTTGTTTATTTACATTGCGTTTGTTTTGAGCGGGATTTTGTATTTGTGATATTTTAACTGTTTTAGATAATATTCTCATTATAATAGTGTTTTCGAGTTTCAGTTAGTGTTAATTTAAATTTAGTTTCCGTACTTTCGTTATAAATATAATATTTATCATGTATTATAACTAATTTGATGAAAATTTTCACCTAACTAGTTGCTACACAAATATCTAGAAATATTTATTTACTAAACGCAGAATATGTTTTATTATGTGGTTTAAAGGATATTTCAGGTACCTAACATTTATTATTGATAAACTTAATTAAAAATCTTATATCCTTATTCCTATATTATAAAGTTAACGGTGTAGTATTTTGTATACATGTAAACAGCAATAAAACTCACAATGCAGATATTGCAGTTATATTCTAGACAAAATTTTGCAAAATCTCAATAATGTGAATTTGTAAATATCCATTTAGGACAAGAAACAAAATTTTATGACTTAGGCTTGGAAAATAATGAACACTTTTGATTTTGACATTAACACCATATAGATTGCAATTTGTTGGGGGCTTTTTTTGCAAATTTAATTTTTAGTACAAACGCTATCACACACTATGAGAAATAAACAAATTTAAAGCTAACAAGTAAGAAAAACTTCGAATTATAATTGATACAAATTAAAAGAATCGATGATTACAGAAAGGATATATCACTGAACTTAACTTCTGAGATAAATGCAAATAACTGTTTTTCGAACTGGAGCATAATTTATAAAAAAAACTGAATGTGCATGTAAAAACTATATCAAAACACTATCCCTTTTAGGGGTAATTGAAAATATTTGCTGTAAGCAGTAAAAAGTTATAGACCTTTTAAGTTGACTAACATATACCCTTTCTGTTATCAATTGGAAGAATCAAAAAGAAAGAGGGAATAATTGACAAAAAAACACTTTATTAAGACAGACTGTAAGAAAAAATTGGATTAACAAAACAGATTTTTAATTTATAATAGGCCAACTAAAAATATTATCCCAAAATTCTTTTGTTCCTTCAACGTCGTTCACATATTTAGCCGATTTCTTTATGTGGATCCATTTTATCTGATTTTATGGGAAGTTTTCCTGTTAGGTAACAAAATAAAAGTCCAGGCCACCAGTCTTTAAAATTCACTATATCCTTTCCATCCACAAGATGGATTAGAAATTTATGTTTGTTGCTGAAAGATGCTATAATTTCTATATACTGACGTATGGTATAAACACGATCGACTTTTTTTAACTTTCTTTTAATGTTACCAAAGTCTCTATCGCAAGGCAGAAACGAGTGTCCTCGAATGGGAAAGTATTGCTGAATATCATCAAATCTGCCGGAATCTTTCAGGAACAGGCACATTCGAATTAGGGTGTTATTTTTGTTTTGACCAGGACAATTGTCGCTAAAGAGATGCAGTTCCCTCACACTATCAGGTATATATTCCTTTATATACTGGTAAAGGAAGAAACATACTTCATTAGGGCCTTTTTTGCCACAACCTTCATGATAAATGAAGTAAACAACTTGGTCAGTCTTCATGTTGTGGATGCAAAAAACGCTTACTGTTAATTGTCTTAAATAGAATAAATCCTGTACTGGTATTTTTGGAAGCTGTAAGTTTTGCATATAGTCAAACGCAAGGGCAACTACATTATTAGACTCTTTGCTCTTCTTTGTTGACTCCTGCAGTGCCGTGTAAAACTTTTTACTTCGTCTTTTATGCACGAGCATTTCAGCAAGAGCAACTCTTTTAGCATTCTCATTTAGATCCTTACTCTTAATTTTGATTGAAAGATTCTCACAAGTGCAGCATGTGTCGACCTGCTGCCTATCAAACTTCAGATCAAAATCGTCCTTAAAAATTCTGTTGTAGTATTCGTACTTAATCTTTGAGTCTGGATATTTTTCTTTGAACATCGAATACATGGTCTTTACTGTCAATTCTGAACTAAGATAATGATATTCTCTTGAAGAATAATGGGACGTTTTTACAGGAAACGAATTTATGTGCTCATGAATACGAATCTTCTCTTCGGCGGGGATAACATTAGCACTGACTTGTTTTCCTCTTTTATCTGTAGGCGTAACTCCTGCTTGTAACAACTGCTAAATACGTTGTAATCTTTTATTACTGATGGAGTAAACAGATAAGAATGCCTTTTTACAAATAATTTTTCTTTCAGTTGCAATCAGTACGTAATATTTAAAACTACTGTTACGTTTGTTGTTCTCCCTAAGTCGTTAAGTTGTTGTACTCGTGGGCGGCGAGTTTTGATACTAGAAACATGAACAAGTCCCTGTAAATACAAGTCCTGTTCGTCCTTTGTAGCTAAATTATAAAATCTTTCAAATGCCTCTAGCTGCTGCTCATTAGTAATCTTTTCCAAGCATTTTAACTTACAGTTACATAGGTCTCCAACAGATTTAGCAGGAACAACATTACCTTTATAATTCACGTACTCTTGGCCTTTAACAGTAAAAAAAATTAAAAAATTCAATAGATTATGTTTTATTATAACGACTAAAACTTTTTAATAATATTCCTTTTATATCCATCGCAGTTAACTACCCCTTTTTTACGTTTTAAATTATTTACGTCCTCCATGGCTGGACAAGATAATCTAACTGACAGAAAATTAAAATAACAACTACCGATATTTCACTAGCAGCGCCACCTTGCAATCCGATTGACTGCATATAGGGTACAAGTCAATTGACTTAGACCTTTTCTGCACTCAACGTTATTGAAATGAATTATTATTTTACATGGTGTTTATCAGAATATGAATCCTTTATGCGCACAACGATGAGGTTTGGGTTGAACTGTCGATTCACGTAAAAATCTCAAAATATGCGAAAACATGACTTGTACCCTTTCTGCAATCAGCGATTCAAATATAAACAGTGAACACGAACGTCAATGTTGCCAAATGATGAACTGATTTTAAAACAAAATTAATAAATGAAATGAAATTTTAAAAAAATCAATATGATTTATCGGTTTTATAAAAAAATCCTTAAATAAATATAGAGTATGATTATATATTATATATTTATCGGGCACGGTGGTGTAGCGGTCTATCGCGCTTATATTCATTTATAGGCAAGTTTATGAGTCTGAGACTGCTGGGTTTCGAATCCCAGACCAGACCATGTGGATTTTTAATTAAATTGCATGGTTCGGTTTAGGATTTGATGTGTGGCGTAATAATAGAAATTTAATTTCTGTTGATATGACATGCAGATTAAAAAAATTCGCCATACATTACCGTCTCGATGATGGTGGGTGAGGTTTTCCGGGTTTTCCTCACCTGTAAGTCAAATGGCACCATCAATCATCTTTAAGTCGCCCCGGAGCGCCACGGCAAATAATAATAATAGCCGTCCCTTTCCCCGGACAAGCTCAGCTTTTGGGGTTAAAATTCACTCGTAAGGGGGTGAATTAGGGAGAGTATTATTATTATTATTATTATATTACTATAAACAAATTGTGCTAACTTGTGCCACTTAAAAAAAGGTCTTATTTACTTCTTCAATGACTAAAAATCCGACGACGTATCAAAATTTCGCTACTCCTGGCAATAATGAACAATATTCTACTCATAGAGGCGCACCTTCTACAAATTTCCTCCAGAGGGCGTATCACTTAGCTTGATTCGCGGATTGTATAATTTTTTTTTTGGGAACTTGGAAATGTCCAGGGGGCAACTGCCCCCTTTGCCCTCCCCCCCTTCCGGCGCCCATGGTAATACATATGAAAAATATGTATACATCGAATTGCCTTTTGTTTTATTAGAATTGATAAAAAGTTTATGACTGATGTTTTCTTCAACTATCAATCAAGTAAAAATAAAAGAGCATTTATTATCAGGTGATGTAACATCAAATTGTATTTTGGTTTATTGGGATTGAAAAAAGTATATGACTGATGTTTTCTTAGACCATCAATCACATAAAAAATAAAAGACCATTTATTATCAGGTGAAGTGGTTTCAATGAGAAAATTCTAGTAATAATTTTTCATCATTTAAGGGGTAATTACAGTCTGAAATTATTACCTACATCACAAGTTTGATATTATTTTGTATTATCTATTATTGTAGATATAACAATATACAAATAAGAAAAAAACATAAAATTAACAACGTCCTAATATGACATTTTTTATGTAAGAAAATAATTATTACATAATTTTGTTATAAGTAACTTGATTTATTATTAAATCAATTTATACATGTTTTATCTTAATTAAGTTGAATACGTAATGTGAATCTATTAGGAATATTTTGATACAAATTGTATGTAAACAGTCACAAAAAAATATTGATGGTAGATTCTGTTACTATAAAAAATAGTAACGAATAATTTAGAAAGGAAATTAAAATATGGATCGATCCAAATACGAAGTGATTATCTAGAATTAAATATATTTTCCAATATTTTTATTTTTTAACACAGCTAATAGTCCATACGCTAGGTAACATCCTGTGTTTTTGTGGCATTATGTTGTCCAAGGTGTATATATTGAAGATATTTTGGTTACCACGTTACCAGGCCCAAAAATGGCCAGTTTAGTTTTTATACAGGGTGGTGATATGGTTAGGACTATACACATATGACATTAGAGTGTTCCACATACACTTGTGTTTTTATCTACTTAATATATCAGTTTTTTTTTAAGCTATTGCATAGCTTTTATCGCGGGCTTTGAGCGTGGCGACCGAATCAAGAAATTTCGTAATTCCGTAACGAAAATAAACCTAACACCCCCACTTCCCACCGGCACAGCTGTGCGGCGTTTTGAAAGCCGTTGAAGGTTTTATCTGACCCTATTCGTATTAGTATGAAGCGGAGTTAAATATACGTCTGCGGACTGGAACGTTTATGCAATACAAGAACTAATAAATTGGTATCACAAATGTTCCCGGCTGGCGTAAATATTAGATATTATTTTTTTTTGCAAGATTTATAATAGTATATTATGCAACGATCATGTAATTACCATTACATGAGAGTTGCATACGCTATTTTTTCTACACCCGATAAATAATCAAGACCTATAAATATTCTATTTATATTGGCATTGAACACAATAACAGTAATTACTCGTATTTCTATAAAAAATTCTACAAAATTGTAATTAATGGTATTACCTTGGGTATTGGTATTACCACAGATTTTTGGGGCAAAATATTTTGTACTGCATTTTCTCCTTTCTCCGATATGTGTGGTAGGTTTCTATTGATTAAAAATCTGTATCATAATGAAAAATCTATATCATAATGGGTATCATTATGAAACGGATTATGGGCATATAAGTGCATTATTATAATACGGGTGTAGAAAAAGAGCATTTTGTCACTTGCTGCGATTACAAAAAAATGTCACTTCATAAGGCTAAATTAGAAAAACGTTTTACTAAAACTTATAGACTGAAATATATAATTTTTTGAAAAATAATTTTTGTTTACGGCTTTTATAAAATTAAGAACACGAATTTAATGTTTTTGGAAATTGCTGAAATAGAAAAATATATTTGTTGTAATAAAGTCTGAAAGCCATGTCAAGAAATGCACATACAGGTTGTCATAATAGTAGTTTGTGCAACAAAAATGGATATGGACAATCCACTCGAGTTGTACAGTATATTTTTTCTATGACCCACTAACGAAAATCTTCCAATAATTTAAATTATTTTAGGTTATTAAGATAAAATATTTAATTTAAAAATAATTTATTATTTTTACTAATTTATAAAATAAACAAAAAAGAAAAAAAATATTTAATTTTTCCCCATCCGAGATTCGAACTCGAGTCTTCCGTATAGAAGGCAAGAACGTTGACCACAGGACCATTTATTCGCTCTTTTTTTTTGCTTTAATACTCGTAATTAAATTGACTTCATTCAGTTTTATTTACATTAACAAAATATTTATAATTATAGACGAAATACAAATAGAAATGCTATTATTTATCAATTCTATACAAGAATAACCCATTTTAATGTATGTTTAATCTCAATAACTGAAAAATATACTGACAAATAGCTTGACAGAATTGTCACTTATTTAAAATTTTAATAGTAGTTTGTGCAACAAGAGTTTATATGATGGCCATGTCACACGAAGACGAAATTTGAGCACGACGCCGTAGGCGGAGTGCTCAATCGTCTGAGTGCGATGTGGACAATCCACTCGAGTTGTACAGTATACTTTTTCTACTACCCACTAACGAAAATTTACAAATTAAAAAAAATATTTTAGGTTATTAAGACAAAATAACTAATTTTAGAATAATTTATGACTTTTAATAATTTTTGAAATATTATAAACGAAACAAAAAAAAAGAAAAATAGTTTTTCCCATCTGAGAATCGAACTCCAGTCTTCAGTGTGGAAAGCAAGAACGCTCACCACACGACCACCTAGTTTTTTAATTTTGTTTCTTTAATACTCGTAATTAAATTGAATTCATAAAGTTTTGTTTAAATTAACAAATTATTTATAATTATAGACGAAATAAAAACAGAAATGCTATTATTTATCGATTCTACACAAGAATAACCCATTTTAATGTATATTTAATCTCAATAGCATACTTTTTCGTTTTGTAATCTGTGCGTAGATAAGCTAATATCCATGTGGGTGTAGAAAAAAATAATAACAGTCGGTTGATCAAAATATAAACTGGTGGATTTAATTTTTTTGCAGTGGTCTCACTATCTAGAATGGATATGAAAAAATATATTCGTTCAGTTGAAGGCAATAGCATACTTTTTCGTTTTGTAATCTGTGCGTAGATAAGCTTATATCCATGTGGGTGTAGACAAAAGTTATTTCTTTTAAACTGTGTGCTCTGATGACAATGACACGCCTCCGCACGGTTGAAATAGAACCTGATGTAGGATCTGGTGAGGCGAAACGTCACTTTTGACAGAAGGCGCTCGATACGCTCCTACTGCTCCAAACGAACATGGACTCCATCTCACCGAGATATATCTTCCATAAGCCATATAAAGTTATAATAGAACAAATAGAAGAGCCAGAAGTGGCAGGTACGATTCATATCTACACCGACGGTTCTAAAACAAAACAAGGCTCAGGATGCGGAATATACTCCAGATTCTTAAACCTAAACATAAAATGGGCTGTGAGCAATAGTGCCAGTGTAGTTCAAACAGAGCTAACGGGGATTCTCATAGCAGCAAAAGAAATAACCAGAAACAATATTACTGGAAGGAACATGCTCATCTATACAGATATCAGACAAGCACTACTCACTCTGAACAGACCACGAATTTATTCAGGGTTAGTATTAGAATGTCACGAATCTTTGGCCGAAGTATCCATCAACAATGTGGTCACCTTAAGATGGATCAAAGGTCACGCCACATCGAAAGGTAACCGTCTTGCCGATTCACTAGCCAAGAAAGCAGCCAACCAATTACTTTTTGGACCTGGCCCTTCTA